TTTATAATTTAGGATCTATAAGAGTTAATGAAGCAGGAAAAGAGCAATGGCTGATATGTCACAGTTCTTACCTATAATCCACAAGTAAACTCACAATACAGAAACAAATAACGTTTATATAAATATTAATAAATCTGTTGCACATAAACCTAAGTGTTTCACTGGCACATGAAATGGTTCAAGTACTCAAGTGCTCTTGCACATCTCTATTATCAGTTACTGAACTGGCCGAGAAATTCCATATTTTTGCATATCTAGTCTATGATAATAAAAGCTGCTTTCAACAGGAGCGTCTGCTAAACCTTGTACCCATCTTAACACCAGGCACAGACTGAATAAGCTTCCTACCACTCCAGACAAATGTCTGTGCGATCTAACCAACAGTTCTGATGTTTTAAGTTCGGCTTTGCAGTAACATGCAAAAGTTTGGGTCCCAATCAAATTACATACTGTGTTGATTTTTGAAGTGAGAATAAATAACACATCCTCTACAGAGAGCACTTCTGCACACTTTAATACACAGTTACTGTCAGTTTGCTGAATTTAAAATATTGGAAAAATTGAAATTGGGAATTTTTTGTTTGTTTTTTGATAAAACTCCAGTTGAACTGTTTCTCCTCCTACAAACACATACAGCACTGCCTACAAGCAAAATAACCTTTTCTAAAATTTCTGCATTTTCATTTCTTACTTTATCCATCTTTGCATGATTCACATATGAAAAGTGCTACACTGGTAATGCAAAAAGTATCGTTGCGCTTGATGTTAACTTATTTGAGTTTCCATTCCACCTTAAATAGTGCAGCAGTTACACATTAGTGTCCATTCAGGCAACTGAATGTAAATGCTACATAATTTAAGGTGGAATGGGAAATGAGACTAAGAAGCTAACTTCAGCTTCATTGAATCTCTATTCACTGTACAAGACTCAATCGACAGTCTGGGGGCCACTGGTTTAGCAGCTAAATTATGACAGATACACACTTGGATGTAAAGTTTGTCTGAGCGAAGAATTCTCTTTGGAATTCTCCCGACTCTCCCGATTTACCCATTTCATCATTTGTAGCTAGGTATGGTAGACTGAGCAGTGCGCCCACTTCTTGGTGTTATAAGGGAAAGATTGGCTTCACGCTGAGGTATATTTATCTAATATCGAATTGTGTTGAGGTGAACTGGGTTGGTTTCAGCAAAGTCTACACCAGGGTGTCGAACTCAACCGCTAAAGGGCCATATTAAAAAATAGAGAATGTTTGTTTTGTTCCAGTTTTAATAAACATTTTGCTGTAAACTGAACTGACCATTGTTGATTCAAAATATGCTAATTCAAAACTTGTAGTAGAAATATTACATAAATACTTGAAATATGGGGTGGCACGGTGGCGCAGTGGGTAGCGCTGTTGCCTCACAGCGAGAACGGCCTGGGTTTGATTCCCGGCCGGGCGACCAGGGTCATTTCAGTGTGGAGTTTGCATGTTCTCCCCATGTCTGCGTGGGGTACTCCGGTGTAGCTGCCGTCCCATAGACTGTTGTTGTGGTAGGAGAGTCAGAGCACATTACGTTGCAGTGCATGCTGGGGACTGTAGTGCAGCGCAGTTTGAAACGAGCTAATATTAATAAAATGTAAATACTTGTGTGGGCCAGATAGGATTGTGTTTTGACACATGGGGTCTACACCATGCACTGCTGTGGCCTTCTAGAACTGAAAGTGAGGAGCACTGCTGTAGAGGGTGTAGCACAACAAATGCATGCAGAGTCCCAAGTGTAAAATAGATGTGAAAGGGACTTACAGTTCAACTGATAGATTGCCTGCTTTGAAGACCTTGTGTGGGTTAGTGCAATTGGATGTCTAGTGTGCGTGGGAAGGGTGCAGTAAGGGATCAATACCAGAGAGGATGTGTGTGTTCATTGTGAACCCCACCTAGACTGAAAATGGGACCCAGTTGCTCGAACACATCCATCTCCGGCTCTCGGCGCACTAACAGTGTATCCTCAACACTGCTGTGTGTTCAGTCTACACACATCAGTCGTTTACTGGCCAGGTCTGTTTTCACCTAAAGGAAATTAGCTCTGTGCTCACACCAGACATTTTGATATTTGATATAAGTATGATGAATGATTAACTTTAAGAAAACAAAACACACAGCACTGCCTTCATGCAAAATTACCTTTTCTAAAATTTCTGCATTATCATCTTAATTTCTTGCTCTTATTTATGCATATTTGCATGATCCACATGTGAATTTTTACATTGATAATATAAAAATCACAATCATAAAAAGATCACAAAAAACATACAGCTGAATGTACAGCAGAAGCTTTAGTGTATATCAACACAACTGTAAAACATAAGTTGTGACTGTTTCAGCATCATATTTTCTGTGTTTTTCCTAAAGCAATTATTTATTATCACCCACACCCAATTCCTCAGTGATATGAAGCTGAAGTCAGATATTCACCAGATTCTTGTTTGAACTTTATTGGTCCATCTTAAATAGTCCAGCAGTTTTGATGCCTGGGGTGCCAGAATATAACTGCTGCACCATTTAAGGTGGAACAGGAAATTTAGCCAGCTAGTTACCGAGACATCAGCACTACTATATCTATCTATCTATCTATCTATTTTTTATTATATATATATATATATATATATATATATATATATATATATATATATATATGCATGCTTGTTATGAAGAAGGGAACCAAAACGCTATTAAACTAAGATAATATGATGGTTTTTGTAATTTTTTTAACAGAAAACTCTCACATTTGTGTGTTTCTTTGGTCTCTTGTTCAGCCGTCTTGCCAGTTTTTCTTTTTTTCTCATATCTCTCTGTTTGGAGGGTCATGTAGCCCTAACACTTCGCCCTACCCCCCTATCTCAAGAATGAGGACCCCCTACGCCTAGACATGAATGCCAAAAACAGAGGGCTAAGGGCTGAGTAGTGGCGAAGTGTGAAATGGGATTGGGCCTAACTTTCAATTCTTTATTTAAAGGGCCAGTCTCATGAATTTCCCCTTTTAAATGTAAGATTTTGTTGTAGTATGTAAACATTGTCAAAGTTTCAAAACATACTGGTCCATACAGTCCATACATGGAAGCCAAGCTGCAAAAACAGCCCATTTTGAATTAGTTTTTGAATTGTCACAAAAACCAACTCATTTACATACATCCACCTGTTCAGCCTACAGCAGTTCAGCCCTGTCCATTCACTGAAATTCTAATACTGCTTTTTTCAGTGAGGTGCATTACAGGGCGGCCTGTCAGAACGAAGGTCATTTACATAAATCAGTCTTAAAGGCACAGTAACAAAAACAGCCTGTTTGATTGTAAGGGATGAAGAGATTGGATAACTGTCATAATTCAGCAATAGAACCTGAGAGGGAGTGTTTTATCGTGAAATAACATCACGGCTGTGATTCGGTCGCCGTAGATCATCACAGCCGTGATGTTATTGGCGATAACACACTCCTCAAGTGTTCTGTTGCTTTTATACAGTTAAATAATGTAATAAATTAATAAACTGGGCCGTGAACGCGGCGTTTAATATGTTTTAACGAGCAGCTCGTTGCTACGTCAGAGTAACGAGTTCCGCCCACTCGCTGCACAGCTGGCAGTTCATTCTCCAGCTCCTTACACTAAATTCCCAAACTGTCATCACCACTGAGCAGCTTTTTTGTTTTTTATTGTGCTTAGCAACGGCATCTCAGCGGAGTGATAGTGTTTTGTGAAAAACCTGTGATGTTATGGCGAAATAACAACAGCAGAGTTAGAACACTCCTTCTCAACCAATCAGCTTGCGTGGCCGAAACTAACTGTTGTATAAAATGTAATCAAAGTCATTAAGTGGAACAAAAAAATTGTAGATGTGCCGTTAAATTCGGTTAATCCTACTTTGTAATGGCATTGTATCCTGGGCTCTCCTAAACTCTCAGTTTGACTACTCAATCCAATAAACACTGGATGTTTATCAGGGTTTTGCTGTTGTATTGTTTGGGTTTCAAGCATTGTGATGCTACACTTGGTATCTGTATTGAAGTCAGAATCATGGTTTGTGACGGCGCCTATGCAGTACTGAATGGATGAATACTGAAGAACCATGCGGAACATCAGGAACATGGAAAGAGAACGCTGTTTACTTACAAGCACAATCAGTTGAAGTCTCATGCTCAGCGAGGCTGTCTTTGCCGTGCTGTTGTTCTGACTTTTTTAAAGCACTGTAGTTTCTTTTCCCACCACGCTGAGAGACCCTGTAACATTCCAGGAAGAAAAATCTTCCCTATCCATAATCCCTTGCCTTTATCTGCTACAGTACTGTAGTTGGTGCAAAGTAAAACCATCACATTTCTTGTGGTTGCTTTTTTTGAATCTCTCATCCAGAATATCTTTTAAAAAGCTGAATATATTAACAATGTATGCTGAATATATAAATAATGTAATTTTTTTTTTTTTTTTCCATTTCTCATAAATGGGCATCTTGTGGTCAGATTCTGAGTCTACAGATTATCTTTCTCCCACACCTCATGCGGTCAGGGCAGAGGTGGCCTGCTGTTTATTTTTAATGAGATCCTCCATAATTGATGTCTGTGCTCCTCTGGGTTCTGCCTTTATCAGGCTTTATCATTCTAATCACACACCCCCACTGTCTGTCTGCGTTGCCCAGCTTTCGGCCAGTTGCCCCAGCAACGTTCCTCTCACGTACAGTTCTTGTTTGACACTGTTTACACCGTTTAACCAACAGCGTTCGCAGCATTCAAACGCTGTTACATCACCTGAGTAAAAATCATTCAAGATCAAGAAATGCAAAAGGTCCAAAGCCTTTTGAAGGAATCGCACACTGTTTGAGCTGCCACTGCTGTGTACAAACAGCCTCGACCAGCTTAATCATACTGGGTTGGTGGGACTGCAGGGAAAGTGGCTGTGATCTCCTTTTGAACACACTCGCACTAATTGATACCAGGGTGCCTCATTATTTCTGTGAACTACTGTCTCTTTTCAGGTGTACGACACTGCACTATGACACCGAGCTGCCATCTACCAGCATCGTGATCACGTTCCACAACGAGGCACGTTCCACTCTGCTGCGCACAGTTAGGAGGTAAGGCAAACCACTGGGAACAAGGTCCTCTACACACGCTTAGAGAAATAGTTCCATAGAGAAAGATTGCATTATCACAGTCGGAGCACAATATGAAAATAATAATCTCATTTTTCAGTTTAAAGCAGTAGAATGGTTTAGAGATGATCCTGGCACATTTTAATTGATTGGGTATCGGCTATATTGACCCAAACCCACCTCTGATTGTTTGTTTGCTTCTTTTTTGCCTTCTATTTACACCCCTTTTGCTGAGGTGCCATGTTTTGACATTGCAGCAATAAGGCACATTTCAGAAGCCAACAAAGCAATCTGAATGTCTATAGTGTGAAACTATTTACTATTTTAAAGAGGAAAATGAAAACTAATGTCTGTGGAGCTCCGGAGTGGACGGAGGTAAAGAAATAATTGAGTCCACTGATGAATCTGTGGGCTGTTTGCTGTAAAGAGGAGCTACAGTGTCCTCAAAATCAAACCTAATGAGCATCTCTGTCCATCATCGCATCAATCTAACACATCAAAACCTGTCAGACAGTGTCAGGAGCCGTCAGCTGCTTCTGCACAGGACAAATTACACAAACTGTATCTACTACATTTATTTTGTTTGTGCACGAATCAAAAAACAAACAAGGTGCGTTCAATTAAGAAGAAAACACGGCCACGATTAAAAAAAAAAAAAAACGAGAGAACTAATTGGGAAATCGTGATCATGAATTAAAAAAAAAATGCACACAAAGTAAAGAAAACATGCACATGATTGAAAAAAATGAGAGAACGAATTCTTAATCCTCTGAAATGACATTTTAAGTTGTACTGACTCCACACACCCCGTCTCGTCTCCAGGCTTTTATTTTACTGTTCTGTTTAAAACATTCGGTTATGAAAAGGTACAAATACGAACTTTTCACCTGGAAAAACGTATTTAAGGTTCACAATCAGACCTTAAAACCACTGTTGGAGCTTTGAGGGAACATTTACACTGTTTGTACCTCGATGAACGAAAAATGTACCTGAACAGAACCTTCGTTTCTAACAGTGTACAGCCACTGCTGCTGCTCAGCACTACGTCTCCCAGAACCCCTTGCTGCAGCACGTGACCCAAGACTCTCACAGATCCACCTATCCCGTTCCACGTTGACTTCTAATTACTCACACCTGTTCCTTGAGTTACTGAGTTTAGCTAAAGCCCAGGCTTATATACTTGGTTTCCTTGCGAAGTATCGTCACTCGTGTGTGCTGAGCGTTTCCACTGTGCTCCTCTCTGCTACTCCGTGTATGACCCGGTTTCTGTTTGTGACCACATTTCTAGTCCTGCCCCTTTGTTCTGTTCTGCTTCTCTGGTTTTCGAGACTCTGCATCTGTTCAGCCAACTGTGATTTTGGACATTTGATATTAAAGTTTTGAACTTAAGCCTCTGCTGCGAGCATCTGGTTCCGTCCACCATTACACTGATCATCAGGGTTTTTTAGCCAAATAAGCTCATAAGGCAGTATTAAACATGCTGTAAATTGTATGCCAAAAACAATATAACAGTCCAGAATTTCACATTACTCAGTGTTAACAAGCAGCCTAGCACATCTAAATTGTGTGGCTGTATTTTCTATGGAAACAAAACAATCATATCAGATTGTGACTCAGCATTAAAGTACTCAGACTGGATTGGAGGGCAAAAAACTTTAACTGGGAAAAACTGGACAGCTCTACAGTGGTGTGAATAGACTTCGAATGCCCATAATAGCAACTGTGGCTCCAAGCTGTATTTCTATATGGCAAAACATGAATGAGGTTTTCAAAAATGGATGCTATCGCCACCCCATGGTGCACAAAGTTTCCAAACCTGAACATTTTTGCCCTGCATATATTTTCCCACTGAATTTCACTGTGACCTCTGAATCACAAGGTCAATAAGGAGTCGAAATATGAACATTGCTGCGTCCGTGCTGATAGCAAGCTGCCACTCCTGTGTCTACTATTAAACTTCAGCACTATTCAATAATGACACCAGTTACTCCTAATGTACTTTAGTACTGCCAAATCAACTTACCTACCACAAAGCTTGCTGGTTTGTATGAGAGATTTTGGCCTCTTTTCCACTGAACACACAGAGTTACCATTCTATTTCCACACCGACGTGGTTTGACAGATTACTTCCAAACCGTGCTCAGTGTGGTTTCCTCAATGCAGCAAGCTAATCATGCTCAGCACCACAGAACCATTTGGTGGTGCAGCGACGTAGCTATTTATTGATTTATGTTATAGTTGTGTTTGTCAGTATTGTGCCATTTGCTTTTTGCCAAAACTGAAACATAATCAATTTCAGTGAAATCAGTGCACAATTTTCAATCCTTCATTCAATAGATGTTAAACCATCAATCTAGCAATAAATGCTAGACGTTAAATGCTGCTGCAAACTAGGATAGAAGAGCTTGTTAGCATTAGCTTAGCTAGCATCTGACCAACTGTTATCACAGAACAGGTTCAGTTCTGATGAAGTGTTGTGTAGCTTCTGTTTTGATTTATAATGACTCAAATCTGAGGAAGCAAAGTCAAAGGTTGGAGGGACAAAAAGGCAAAACAAACCCTATTCATTGGTGTCTGGATCTGGTGCCTCCTAGTTAGGTATATGCTAACTGGCTCTACTAGCCTAGTTAGCTTATCCAGTGGCCTACAGATCCAAACCCTACAGTAAAGATTCGATTGTGTCTTCCATGCTGTTACAAGTGTAGTGGAAAAAAGCTCATATGAGAAATTGAAGTGAAATGACTGGAGTGACAGAAAGCCGAAATTGAACCTGTTCTGTAGTGTTTTGAGCTGTGGTCTGCTGGGCTAGGCTAACACTAGCGTAATGTTAATGAGCAGGCTGAAGTTTTAATCCACCATAGTATAGGCTCGGTTCCAGCTGAGTGATGTGATGCTCAAATAACACCCGTTTAAATGATAATGATTCTGAAAGCCCAGGGTTGAGTCAATTTAACTTGTTTTTTTTTTTTAAATTAAACATGTTGTGCAGCATTTAGCTTGTTAACCACTGCTGAGACATTTGTAGCAGCGCAGCAGATGGAAAAAAGAAACCGGTCTCATAAGTCTGCATGAGTGTCTGCATATGCAAAAAAAATAAATAAATCATCGCACCTCCCAGCACTCAAACTCCACGTATGGGTAGCTCAGTTTGTTAACATGGATAACAATAAGTAAAATGTGATGAAGACATGCTAGCTAGACATGCACTTCTTTTGGTACTTCTATTAAAATTGAAATTAGCATTCATTAGCAGCCGGATTAGTATTGCTTTTTTGAGGTTCAAAGCAGACTCTCAAGGACCCTGTCATAATATCCTCAAGCCTTCCAAAAATCCGTAGTATAAAGGGAACCGCTGTGCTATCTTAAGTACCATGCTGATGTGAACTCGTCATATCTGAGCTTCTCTGATCTCTCAGCCTGACCTTGGACCTCTCCCAGATCCATCACCGGCTCAGTTGACATCAGCTGTTTGGCTGAGCTCAGCGCCCGGTTTGGCCAAGCCGACCGCTAAGCGATCATGAGCTGCCTAAATGTGTGAGTGTGTGCAAAGTTCACTGAGAGGATCCTCAAGGCTCTGCAGTTTTCTCTCCAGTCTGAAACTAATCACTCCCAGTAGATTCCCTTTCCCTGCATGTTCTCCACATTTTGTACGGTGATAATTGGTCCCCATGGATATTACAAGGCTTTTGTTCTCCTGACATACATTTTTAGCTGTCATTGTGCTAATGTGGTTAAATATTACTGTACTTTTTTATTGTATTTTATTTTTTTAGCCTAAAAGTGGATAAATAGATTTAGGAAGCGATAAATGACGTCCGCTTCAGTTTGGAGCCTTATTAGGAGAGAATGGAGGCACAGAGTAATACAGGATATAAGGGAACATGGATGTCTTAGTTAAACAGGTTGCAGTAGAACATGCTTTAAGCCATGTTCTCATATTCCCATAGCAACATCATCTTTGCAGCAGTTGGGCAGACATTTCTCAAGATTCACCCTGAAGTTGAAGATTTTGTGCCATTTAAAGTAACTAATCCCAAATGTTTTCCAAGTTGGTGAATAGCATTTATAGATTATAGAATTCACCTGTATTATTTTATTCACCCTCTTGGTGGCTGTAATAGGGCTTGGAAACATTTGTCACATTGCACTGCATTATAGGATCGTTCTGCCATATTGGCAGGGTTTGTTGTCCGTCGCGTTTTTTTTTGTTTTTCAGGTTTGACATGCTTCATATTGAATCGAACAAAAGGGAAGTGTATCTTAACCAACTACAGATGATAAAATTAGCCTTATTGAAGGTTCGGACACAATCTCACACACTCCCAAACAACAAGTGGAATGGTGACCTGGACATGCTAACATTTACCTGCTCTTCCATTCAAAGACTTGTTTCTACCTGGTGTGTGGCTTAAGTGCCTGTTCCTTTAAGCAGGTCAGGATTTTAAGTCACCTGAAGCCCGTGAACATAGTCCACTGACGTCATGTCGTCATGTCGAACTCAAGGTTCATTAAGCTGTGGCAACAATACCCTGCCTTTTTTACTTTTCCTTGAGGAACCATGACAGACTCCAAAAAAGATGAACGCTGGCAAGAAGTAGCATTTGTAGTGTCTGATTACATACAGTAAACCTGGTAGTTAGCTACTTTTATGTAATGTTCTTCATATGGTAACACATTCGTTATCTCAGGTTTTCTTTGAAGAATTGACGGACTATGCTGTCCTTTTTGTGGCACCCAGGAACCCAGGGTCAACACTTATTGTTTTTTACGGAGCCCGGTAGTGGTCACTTACGAGAAAAAAAATGTGAGGAGAAAAATCTGCCCCCGCTGTAGTTTATTTGCTCATTTTAATGCTGAAGCTTTGTTACCATTAACGTTGACAACTTCATCACTGCTTTTTTCTTCTCTCTGAGCTCTCAGAGCAACAAAAAAGCACATCAGAATTGAAAATGATGATGATGATGATGATGATGATGATGATG